TTTATATATATATATATATATATATGATTATATATATGATTATTACCTCTTTTATCTCTTTCTCTTGGATTGTTCCCTTAACAAGTATGCAGTAAACTTCTTTTTCTCTTCTGATTAGTCTTGGTTTAAAGTCCGCTTTGTCTTCAAATAGAATAGCTACCCTGGTGTTTTTTCCAGTTTCCTGTAATATTGAATATTGTTTTCCATCCTTGGACCTTTAGTCTGTGAATTTATTTTTTAGTTCAATGTATTTCTTGTATGCAGCATGTGGTTGGATCTTGTTTCTTGATCCATTCTATCAGTCTGTTTCTTTTAATTGGTGAATTGAGACTGTTTACACTGATGGTTATAACTTATATGTATTGATTTATCTTTGTCATATTATGTTCCTGTTGTCAATTCCCTTTACCCTCTGAGTACTTGTTTGCCTTGCATGGTGGATTCATTATATTAGGATTCAGAAAACTGTTGTATTTTCCTAGAATTCATTCAGAACTTTTTGGAATACTGGTTTGATGGTCATGAATTTCTTCAGGTGTTCTTTATCATGGAAGTATCTTATTTCTCCATCAGTTTTGAAAGATAATTTTTTAAGGTACATCAATCTGGGTTGGAGATTGTTTTCTTTTGGGGCTTGAAATACTTCACTCCAGGCTCTCCTTGGCTTAAAGTTTTCTATTGAGCAGTCCACTGTGATTCTTCTGGGCTTTCCTTTTCCTTTATGGGAGATTTGTTTCTTTTCTCTAAACATTTTTTGTTTGGGGAGGGTTTTTGGTTTTGGTTTTGGTTTTGATTTTGTTTTGTTTTGTTTTGTTGATTGTTTGGTTGTTTGTATTTTGAGGCAAGATCTCACTATGTAGTTCAGGCTGGCCTTGAACTCAACTCACTATATAGGCCAGGCTAGCCTCAAACTACTGGCAATCTTCTTGTCTCAGCCTCCTGAGTGCTAGGATTACAGATGTGAGCCACCACACCTGGCTCTAACCCCTTTTCATATTCTGTTTTTGTTTGAATTTCTGGAATCTTGATTACTATATGCCTTGGTGCAGTTTTTTTCTGATTATGGCTAATTGGAGCTCTATATGCCTCAGTTATCTGTATATCATTCTTTTTCCATGCTTGGGAAGTTTTCTGCCATTACTTCTGTGAACAGATTTTTTATGTCCTTTGTGCTATCTTCTGATTTGTCCTTGATTCTGATCAGTTTTATGTTATTCTTCTTTGCATCATCTAGCAGCTGTTAAATTGATTTTTTGTGGCCCCTTGATATTTTTAAGAAGTCTTTCATTTGATGATCACTAACCGTAAACTTGTGTTCTAAGTCTGATATTCTGTCCTCACACTGGTTGATTCTGCTGTGTAAATTTTCAATAGACTTTTTATTCTCCTTGATATCTGTTTTAATCCATTTCATGGAATCTAGCTCTTTCCTGTGTTGGGCATTCATGGTTTGCATCACTTTACTGAGCTCTTTTTTTTTTAATCTTCATATTTTATAGATTCACTAACCATATTCTTTATTATAGCGATCACCTTCTTAGTTATCTCTGGAATTTTTTCTGGTTTGTTTTGTTTTTTGGTTTTTTTTTTCTTTTCCTAGAGCCTTATTCATCTGCTTTGTTACTTTTGCTGCTACTATTTCAGAAAGTTCAGCTGGGTGTTTTTTTTTTCTTCTACTTTAATGCCCCCTGGCTTTGCCTTGGAGGTCTGGAATTTCATCTTGCTTCCATGTCTTCTCACTTTCTATTTTTTAAATTTGTTTTCCACATTGTTGCTTGTAAATCACTTATGGTAGGTAGCCTCATTACTAGTATTAAGACTGCCTTAGGAAGTGACTACTTTGCAGAGATGTCTTCTAGGTGTAGCTGGCTTTTGGCCTTTGAATCTTTCCCAATATCCTGCCTCTTTGATTTATTAGGGATAAGAAGTTATTGCCTATTTGGCCTCACATCTAGTTCTTTGGGGCTGAACTATGGTATTATTTATGACTCCCATCCAATCTTGGTGATGGCATACAAGGAAACAACTGATCACAACAACTATGTCACCTTGGCTAAAGTAGTACAATCAATGATAACAATAGCAAAAACAAAAACAAAATCTTTGAGAAGTTGGGTGGGTGGGCAACCCTTTTGAGTGATGAGATTACAGGTGTGTGCACCACTCCTGGCAATGAAGTCTTCTTTTCAGCATCATATTAATACATAATTTTCCTGAGTCTCTTTCCTTGGCATAATATGAAATAATGCATGTATAAAATACAGAACAACCTGAGTTCTGTTAGATACATAATGTACTTCTCTGATCTCTCACAAGTTTTTGAAGTTTTGAAGGGGGCTACTTCATGAACTGTTACTTACTGTACTTAACACTGGCTTCCATGTAGAAGGTGCACAAAAATATATAAATGTATGGAAGGAGCTATGAAATTTGCATTTCTACTTCTACTTTTTGCATTTGACAAATTTTCCTCTATAGATGAACAAGTTACAGGGTCAACTATATAGATAGGGAGAGAAATAAGACTTCAAAGTCTTCTGTTAATGCACATATTTTATCCATTTTGGTATAGTAAGGAGCTCCCATTATCTTGCCTGCAGTTTAGCTTTTCCTATTGCTGAGACTGGAACACAGACACATTTTCAATGAGAATGAAGGGAGGAAGAAACAAAGTCTTGAGCAACTTATGATACTGAGAAGATCGTCATGTAAACTTGCATGAGGAAAGATGGGACAGAATGTAAATAATGTCTTTCTTGAAATAAAGAGACAGCTAATTAAGCCTCTTGCTATATATTCAGTATTAGACTATGTTGATTCCAGAGTTTCCACATGTCAACTGGCAGCTTTCTTTACCTCCTTCCTGAATTACTTAGTTTTTCCTGCTCTACCCTGCCATTGGCCTTCCCCAGGCCCTGACTGCAACCAGTCCTGTGACCAATCCTTGCTGTACTGTAGAAATTAGATGTGCCAGAGTATTCTCACCTCAGCTTCAGGATTGTTGGGCATTGTTATATGGGAGGCTGTGAGGATGCAAAATGCTATGTCAAAAGATATGTTTCAGGCCAGGGTTTTGCCACCTGCCTTGCAAGTGCAAGGGCCCAAGATCAATCCATGGTACCAAGAAAAGGATGTTTCTATGGCACACCTATCAACATTTTTACCAAAGCAAAATCTCCATGCCTCTCCATGAGCACTCTACACAATCAACATTCTGTCCCGCACAGATTGGAGCACTGTTAGAAATTACTTAGGGACATCCTTCAGTTCATGAGTGTGATGATTGGATGCTCATGCCATATGCATGAGATGTGCCTCCCACAAACCCTGTTACACCAGCACAGTACCCATCTGATGTGGAAAAAAAAGAAGAAGCAGTTACTCTGGGAAATTCCAGTCATCTTCCAGAACAAAGCAACTAATACATTACTAGGAAGGGGCATATTGAATGTCTGAGCTCTATTTTTCCAATGAGGTCATTAGCAACAGTTGTTTCCTCTCTATGTCTACATTAGTAAAGTTAACTGTTATGTTAACTTTTTACTGACCCACCTTGAACAAGAACCCTGGAGAAGTCTTTGTAAGCAATATTGATTTTACCAGAAAATATCTTTTCAAGGTAAGTGAGGGACATGTAGACTCTATACTCTTCCACATTCTCCAAACCTGGACAGCTACATGCTTCTCTCACTCTGCTATACAACCATACCTACACAGAACTGGATCATGTCTTCATCCTGAGGAATGTGTAGGTGACTGATGAGTAGTTGCAGGTTTTTGTTGTTATCCCTCTCATTTTAACTTTGAATCTTGCAAATTCCCAAATACAAAAATATTTTTGAAAGGATGACAAAATAACAGCATTCCTATACTATGTACACATTTACACATGTATATACATAAATAGAAGCATAGACAGACCCTTTCCAAACAGTCCTTTGAATGTTGTCCTCACATTTTTATGGTAAATGGTCACAGGGCTCCACTTATTTCCTTTTTCTTTTAACAAGCTCTTTAAAGCCCCTCCATGGGACCCACATCAGGGTCCTGGCACAGAGTGGAAGATGAGGGGAAGGGAGGAGAAGACACCTGTTTAGTCCCACCTAGGTACAGATACAGGGGCCTTTCCATTCTACTTGAGCACAGCTCTTTGAAATGAGTACCTTGAAACATTAAAAAGTATGTTGACCATATGAGAAACATTAGCCAAGAATTGAACCATATATTGGGGTTCAAACAAGAATCATTCTTATTTCAGGTAAATGGGCAACATGCTGTCTACTGTTGATATGTGATTTGAATGTGACCAGTACAGTTTCTCTACTCTAGCAATACATGTGGCATTCATGAAGAAAGAAAATTCCGAAGGGTTTACTAGACTTCCGTGTAGCCTCTTGGCATTGACATAAGATGGTGGCAATGCAGCAGAGATAGGAAAAAGTAGCAGAAAATTCCTTTCCAAACTCTTATCTCACTTCTGATGTTCAACATCCCAAGATACAACTTCTGTCTACACACACACACACACACACACACACACACACACGCACTCCCTGTCCACAGCACCCAAGATACAACTTCTGTCTACACACACACACACACATGCACTCCCTGTCCACAGCACCCTTCCTCAAGATCTTCCACTTTATCATTTGGCTCAGCTCAGAATCAGCCCTCTTGCCTTCCTTTTCTCTCTTCATAAATGTCACAGCAGCTAAGGAGGGATGCAGTTGACAGCTATGAAGAAAGCAGCAGTGCCTTAGAGGACTCAGACCCAAATTCTCAATGTTCCCCAGAGGTAAGTACCTCCTATATATATTTTAGTGAGAAAAAATTGTCACATAACTAGCACTCTAGCAGCTTCTTTGTGTTCCCTTCTAGACACATATCCCAGTGATTCACTACTTTTGCTTGGTTTTGTATTTGATTTTAAAAAGGTATCCTCCCTAATGTTTTACATCAGTCTCATATATCAACCAACGCTATGTTTATCATAAAATATCCATCCAAATTGTAGCTGTCAATGATTTATTCTCTGCTACATATTTCACTATAGAAATTAATATAATATATTACAAGATATAATTTAAACTACAATGTAGTTTATTTCACTACTAGGTATACTACAATTTATTTAGTCTACTATATATTGTCATTTGGAAAGTTTCAGATTTTTAAATTTTAAGAATAGTGTTGCTATGAATTCTGTAGCCTCTAAAACATGCAGCTGTTTAAATCTAAATTTAATTAATTAAAAGTTAAAATTCACTTCCTTGGAGTTGCATTAACCACATTTCAATTGTTGAATAGCCACATATGACTACTACATATTATTGGACAATGTAGTTTATGAAATATTTTGATCACTGCATTAAAATCTATTGAATATAACCATTCTTGTATATGTTCTTTGTTGGATATATATAATCAGTTTATTACAGATTTTAATTCTCTAATGAAATTCTTCATTCATCTTTTTTGTTATTTATTATTATTAGCTTAGCATAAGAATCACAGTCTTTTTTGTACATAATACTGATTTCAATCACCTATAGTCTATTTCTACTATGTGCTTGTTCTCTTGATTATGAGTAATAATTTATTGTTTCTTTGCATGACTCACTGTTTTTGAGTGTAAATGAATGAACTAGATGCTTGGGTGATTTGACCTGACACTGGAAAGCGTTCTCTGTTCTTTGGTTTTGCACAAGGGTAATAGCCAGCTATTCTCAATTTATGTAGGGATTGAGTTGGGTTGCAGCTTCTGGAATATTCATCTACTTTTGATTTTTTTCCTGCTCTGCTGATAAGGCTTCCTTAGCTTTCATTTGAGAACTGGTAGATATCCACCTCTTAAGTACTGAAAGATGTAAAGAAATTAATCTCTCTTCATCAGACATTCCCAACCTAACTCTCCTTTCTGCTCATGCAGTTCAAATCTGGTAAATGTACAGAAAGGAAGACACATATTTGAGATAGACTTCTTCCTATAACATGTTTTTGTTTTCTTACCACCATAAGACTGTCAGGTTTACTCTATGTTTTAGAAGTTTTTGGTGATGGTTGCCAGACTACTGCATAATGTTAGAGCCTGCAAATGCACTGTTCAAAATTAGCCATGTATTTGGAGTTTTTAAGATTTCCACACGACCTTTAAACATTTTGCTAACTTCTTTTCTTGACAGTAGTTTTTCTACTTGGGCATGTACTAGGCCTTTCACCATGTAATGACCTGAATAACCTCAAGACTCTGACAGCAAAATAGTTATCACATTGGACTAGAACTATGAACCATAATAAATGTCTTTATTGATGTCTTGCCCATTCTGTTGCTATATTATTAGCAACAGAAAATCTACTGATATATAACCTTAGTGTCAAATGTGACAGCCACTTTCTGTGGTATAAGTTACTAGAAGCAGAGAACTAAAACCCAGGTCTGAATCTGTAGTAATTTGTGAGGGTCAGTCATACTCAGGAAGATGTTCCCCAAACTGAAATGTTTAATGTATGAGAACTGGTGTTTCTTGAGAAGACCTAGAAGTGTCCTGGTAATAATCCCCCCTTTAAAAAGGGTTTTAAAATATTGTTTTGCCTTCTCAACCACTTTTTGAGGAGAGAATAGGCATGTTATGCTTATTCAGGCACAACTAAAATATCAACAAACAAAATACAATTAGAAGATTCAACTTCCTCATCCTCCCAGCTCTTCTTGAGATTGTGGAAACCTGCTCTAGAGAAGACACTGGCTCCAACCAGCAATGAAGTGAGCTATTTTAAATGGCAGAAAAGGGAGCCCATCATCCTCAGTGGGAAACATTATTGTAGACTTGACCTTATCAAAAATAGTAGTAGGGAAAATGACCCTGAAAGGAAGAAGCTGAAAATTCAGATGCCCAACTCATTTTAAGAAGAGAATCTCAGAGACTGCAGGTAGATCTGATTCCAATTTATTCAACAGAAAAGAGATTGACCCCTTGTAGCTTTGATACCTACTTTACCCCATGAATGGTTTATCAAAGGGTGAGATCAGGTGGCTTCTGTCATATCATATAAAAAAATACAAGAGCTTTCCTAGATTTTGCTACCAAAAGAACTTTAGTATTCTTTATCCACAGCAGAATTTTCCAGGTTGTCTTTTTTTTTAAGAGAGAAGACTTATTGCAAGGGTCATTGAAGCAATAGATGAATGATTTCCATCAGTGAGAATTAAGAGGTTATCAAAAGCAAGGGGAACGCATCTTAACAGATGTATGACAGGGCTGAAGGATACTTCCTGTTTTTACCTCCCACCTTAAGATCACATTCACCCATCCTGGGTGAAATTTTCCCCTTGTAGATTCACAGCCTTCTGAGCAGAGGTGACTGACATCTTTCCGAAGGGGACAGTGCCATTTGCAGGGGATATAGAATTCCTTCTAGGGGCCATTGTTTTCTTGCCAAAGATCCTAGTCTGAAGATGTACAGGGGTCATAGTCATCCCTCCAGGGGTCACATATTGATGACCCACAGTGGTTATAGTCTTCTTCCCAGAAGTCTCTGTCTGAAGATGCACAAAGGCTACAGTTGTCTCTGCAGCGGTCACAGACCAATGGTCCACTGAGGTCATAGTCTTTGTCCCAGGGACCTTAGTCTTTACACCTAAAGCTACACTGTGCTTTCTAGGGGATACCGTTTCCCTTCCAGGGGTCACAATTCCACTTATAGGAATTGTAGTTATGTTTTCATACTTTTCATGGGTCTCCGTGGCCATAGCTTCTCCTCCTGGAGGCAAAATCTTAATAGTATCCGTGGTCATTGCCTCTGTCACAGCCAGTCTTTCAGAGTCAGATCTTGAAGAATTTGTAGCAGATGAGGACCAAAATTCTGGTAAAGGAGTTGAGCTGACCTCTAGAGAAAAATAATTAGAAAAGAATGAGAATCCTACCTCATTCTTCCTGACTTATTAATTACTGGCAGGACTATAACCAATCCAGGGTTGAAGTAACTGATCCAAAAACACAGAAGTGGAGGATTTAACAATTTACCACTTGAGGTCACAGATAAAAATCTCATCACACAGGACCCCTTCTCCCTGACCACATCAGGTAACATGTTCCCAACCTTGAGCACTTTGTGGATTTGCTACATTTCTGTGAATGACTCCAGGGAGTAACTTACGATGTCCTTATATGTAAGCCCTCTCTTTATCCCCTCTGCACTAACAGCAAAAATTTCCCCCAACCCTAATGCCTTAGTTGTTGAATCTTCAGGGAGAAACCTCTCATGTCTCTATATTGTAGGAGGCAACAGGAACAAAGATACAGGCAAAGAGTTTATAGACAGTACCATGCAAATGATTGGACTGGAGCCCAACTAGACACTTGACAAAGTTGAACACCAGTCTCACTATCTCTAAAGTGAGAATTATGAAAAATCTCTAAGGATGTTTCTGCTCTTTCATTCCAGGTGCCATCTCCTAACAGGCTGGGCAACATTTTCTGTCATTGAGATATTGAAAGAAATTAAATTTCCTTTCCTAACCTTTGCCCATAAAAGCAAAAGAAAGAAACAGAGAAATATTAACTAACATATATGGAGTACTAACTATGAGCCAGGGCATTCCACGTCTCATTTAGTTCTTACAATACTAATGTCCTGAGTATAAGGATTATTTTTATTTTACAAATAGGGCAAAGGAAGCTCAAAGAGATCAAGTGAGGTCCAAATATCCCAACCAAGATTAGAAAACATTGGTTTACATCAAAGTTTATTCTCTTCCCCTGATAATCATGTTGCCTCATCAAAGCATTTAGACTTAGCAGAACAGACCCACCCAGTGCCTTGTTCTGCAAATGCTAATCCTAGCTTCCAAGTCACAGCTACTTACCAGCCTGCACCAAGATCTCATTCAGTACATTTACAAGGGGAAAGGGGCCAGTGCCACAGAAAGTGCCCCTGACATCATCCATGTCCAGTGTCCATACCATGGCCCCTCCAAAATGCTCTCTCTTTACAAACATTGCCTGTAACAGTAACAACCAGTTAACATGCTATACTGACCACCCTCCAGACTACTATAATGTCAAGTACCAGCAGATGACCACTCAAGAAGCAATGTAGCAGTACTATGGATAGCCTGTATTTGAATCTAGCCTCTGCTTCTTATTAATTATTGGTTCTTAAAATTCTTATATGCATATTATGTGCCTTGGTTGACTCATTTGTGAAAAAAAGAATAACATTTTCAACATTTTTAGGATCAAAAGCATTCCTATAAACTATAACATGGATGAAATTTGAGAGACATTATGCTAAGTGAAATAAGCCAAATCAAAAAATTACAAATACTGTAAGATGCCCTTCTTGTGCAGGTACTCAGAAGAATCAAATTAATAGAGACATAAAGTGGAATGGTGACTGTCAGGGGCTAGGAGAAACAGGGAGTTAGCATTTGATGGGTATAGTTTCATTTTGAAAGATGAAAAATTCTGAAGATGGATGGTGGTGATAGTTATACAAAATGTGAACGTATTTAATGCCCCTGAATGATAAAATCAAAAAGATTAAAATGTATGGTATGCAGGAGTATACCTAACTTAAAAAGTTTCTACATAAAAAATATTTAGATCAATATCTGGCACAGAGTTAAAGTTCAGTAAATATTGGCTATAATTCCCCTGTGTTCCCCAGCCTGATAATTGCCATTATCATTCACTGAACTATAGATATTGCTTTATTATTATTGAAAAAAATCATTTCAACATGATTATGTCATGGTGTTGCTAAAATGTACAGATAAAGCAAATAACACAGGTTAGAAAGATAAAAGCTTTCATCCATATTTTAAAACTTCAGCTACATGCAAAAGCAAGGACCCAAGTTTGATCCCTGGTACAAAAAAAACCTCAGCTACAACTAAAAGGCAAAGTTTATACTAAAATCCAGGTCCTGTAGTTTTGCCAGTGCTCTGTCAAGGCTGATAGAAAAAACAGAATCCATCATATTCAAATAGATGTGTGACTTAGCTAAGGCATTTTGCTCCTTTCTGGGGTTTGCTTTACCCAAATATAAAAGAAGAGGAAGTAGAATCCAGTCATTAAGTCTGAAATTGTGGAAGTTTTGAGAGTTTATCCTACTTACAAGCTAACACGTTGGCCTGCCAACCTGCTCACACATACACCGGACCCAGATCAGGGAACAGATGTTAATAATTCATAGCAATTTCCCCATCAGTTGGAGACTGGATAAAGAAGATGTGATTTTTCTATAAAATGGAATACTACTCAGCCATAAAGAATGAGAAATTAGATTCATTCATAGGAAAATGCATACATATTGAGGATATACTCCTAAGTGAAATAAATAAGTCACACATGTATAAATACTGAATAGTTTCTCTGGTGTGAAAAACTATAATGGCACATAAGATCCCTGATATAATTGACAGTGTGAAATAGGAAGAAAAGGGCTAAAGGTATAGGGGAAGTGGGAAGGGTAGGGGAAAGGAAATAAGGGAAAAGAAAAAAAATGATAAAATGAAAAAATGGAAATAAAGTATTTGTAAATAGGGAAGGGAGGAGGGGGTGAAGGGAGGGCAGGGGTATGGGGAAAAAATGAGAACCAAGACCTGTCACGTAAAAGTACAAGATCCAAATGATGAATGTAACTGTACTGTATACCTAAAATGTACCAATAAACTCATGAGAGAAAAAACAATAATTCATAGCAAAAAGAGCAAGTGGAACATTGCATTGGTTCCCATGCTCCAGCTTCCCAAAGGGTAATGTGATGATGGGTTAACCTGCGTGTGCAGCAGGGTTTGCACCACAATGAACCTCAAAATTGCGACTTAGAGCTTCCATGGTGTGGCAGAGTATCTGGCAGTGGGGGGAGGGGCTTCACCAGAAAGCTCCTTCTGCTTTGTTTGTATGTGAACACTTTTCAGAGGGGACTTTTACAGGTCCTGAGGGTAAGTAGATCATCCTGACAGAAGGGGAAAAGGCAGCTCTCCATCTTTGGTATAGTTTATCTGCTCCCTTTGCTCAGAGAGACCATACAATGCAGGAACCCTGAGACATCCAGGGATAATTATCTACTAGCAATAATCTCTAAGGTTTCTTTTAGCTCTAACATTCTGTGACGCAGTCCCTTAATCATCCCCACGCTCGGCTCACATCCCCATCTAGTTCTGCAAGACACAATAATGATCCTCAGGCAAGTCTATGCTCTACTGCTGGTTCCAAGATTTTCTCCCAACACATGGGGTAAATCTTCTCTGATGTCCTATGGATTATATATTCCAGTCCATCCAATGTGCTACTTCCATGGATCATCAACCTTTTCTTCCTGTGACTTCCATTCCCAAACCACAGGGCAAGGTCCTAGGGCCTGGAAGCCATGCTTTCCACCTCTCTTATCCCCAGCAGGCTGCTTTAGAGGAGCTGTATGTATAACTGCAAGGGAAACTTCATGAGTGCCTCCCTATCTCTTGTGTTTTCCACCTCAAATTTCTCCCTTCCTAGAAACACCAGACACTTGTCACTTCTATATCACCTACAGTAGGAGAACTATGAATTCTCTCCACTTAAAACCCCTGATATTCAGGCAGTTGCCAAATATTGAGAACTTCTCACACACAAACTGCCTCTCCTCCTGACCACCCTGGTCCAGACCCTCATTATCTCATGCTTAGACCTCTAAGTCCAGTAGAGCTTCCTAAATGCCAGACTGGACACAGCATGATCACGTGGGAAGACATACTAAAAATGGTTTCCAACTTTTTTCTTAAAGCCTACTGAGTGTCCACAGGTGGAACCAAGAATTTCTACATTTATCAAATCTCTCAGATGATTTCACAACAGAGACAGGCTCGGGATCCACTGGGGTGTGAATTTTCTGTTGTAATTCACTATAAAACCCTGCCAGATTCATTCAAACTTGCCAACCATAGACCTGCTCAGAAACTCTCCTTTAAAATCCCTGCAGATTGAAAACTAAAGTTCTTCACCAGAATTTATGCCCCTCCATAAAAAGCCTCTGATCTGCCAAATCCTTCTTTAAACTTGTGAAAAGCTTTCTACCCCCACTGAACCTTCCTCCGTGCCTTTATCTTCTATTCCTACTCAGCTCCCTCAGGAAGCTCTCCCTAATTTTCCCACCCCTGCCACGTATCAGGAATCTTCCTGGAGCACTTCGGATAATCTATCTTGTATTGGTATTTGTTATAAAAATGTCTTTCTAAATTAAAAAAGAAGAAGAAAATACCTGGTCCAAAAAAAGAAGAAAGTAGGGGGAGGAAGATGGAGAAAGAAAGAGAAAGGGGGTGGAGACAGGATCTCACCTTGTAACTGAAGCTGATGGCGTCATCATACCCAACCCACTCCTTCCCCTTGTAGGCGTAAGGGACAGACTGATGATCAATCCAATGCTTTCTCGCTCTCCAGACAAAGGAGCAAACCTGTCAGAAGAACCACAGGTGAGTTCCATATGGTGCTACAGAGAGAAATACCGGGAGCCATGGTTGCACCTTGCCCCATGATAAAGAATCCAAAAAGCCCTCACTAGGGATGAAAAAAAGGTAGACCAAAGAGGGAGTGGGAAATCATTCACAAAAGAGCTTCTCTCTATCCTGAATAAATTTCTGTGCTCCATTTTTCCTTTCTATAGCATCCATGGTGAGAAACAAAGAGAGAACTGAAGAGAACATGATATACTCAAAAAGCCAAGTCAGGGTTTGGCAAAAATGCTAGCACCAAGTACTAAGAGGACAAAACCTGACCCAAGACTGGACCTTCATTTTTGACATGTTTTCATAAACAAATCTCTCCTCTGTTCACTAGAACTCAACACAAACTGCCCTATGAACAGGTCATTATCAAAGTACTGCTAGAACATCTACTAGATTTAAAGGTCTCAAAGGCAGAAAAAACTAGGCTGTTAAAATCTATCAAGCACCCAAATGTCCACTGGGTGCCTGGAATTATGTTAGAAACTATATGCTGCAGGGAAATAGATGTATCCGAGTAATGCTGTAGAAGTTTATCTATGTTGTTTCTGTCTTCTTCAAGTGCTTTACAGTTTCTATTAAACTTTTTTTTTGTTGTTGTTTTTGTTTTGGGGGGTTATTTTGTTTTGTTTGTTTGTTTTGGGATCAAACTCGGGGCCTTGTGCTTGCGAGGCAGGCAGTGGCACCACGATTTAGACCCCTGGCCCTTCTATTAAACTCTTTTTGACCCGTAGTATCCTTCAAAAACATTTTTCCAACTATACCGTCACTCACAACCATGCTTCTTCATTGGATTAGCAGGAAAACATCCACATCAACCCAGCATAGAGCAGAGCTCGGGGAGACACTCAGCACCTCCACTACTGCCTGAAGTAAGGTTATAGGTTTCCCTCTGGTGCCCCCTACACAACTGTACTTTTGTACTTGCTACTCTTGACCCGCCCATCAGGACTCTCCTGTGCTTCAAAGTCTGCTCGGAGTTCACTTGCTCTGTAAGCCTTCATGTGCCTCTTATCATGACTTTTCTGTCTTATATTCCCCTGGGGCCATATCTATTTCCTCTACACCATCCCCTAGTAAGCTTTGTTAAAATGGCGATTAAGTGGTGGAGTTGGAGTACAGATGAAAGAACCTACAGTAGAGAGTGTCTTAGAATTTCTCCAAAATAACCTAGTACCAGGGATGCAGAAAGCAAGAGAGCAGAAGGAGCATAAGAAATGGATTGAGGATTCCAGCTGAATAGGAGATATAGGGGATGTTATTTCTTTACTTTTGAACATCAAAATTATATATATGTTGCAAAACAGCAAACTAGATTTTTATTTAGGCTAAATGGTAAGTCAGGATTTACCCATATAACACGTAAAGTCTTTTTAAGGAGTGACACCTCTGTCTCTTTCCATTCCCCTGAGTCTCTCATCCCTCACGAAAGACTTGACTTCCACCAAAGAAAAATAAAATCTTCCAGATAGTGAATTTGCTTTGTCCCAATGAATGACCTCTTTCCCCATCCCTAGATTTCACCCTGCCATTGCCCCTTTTCCTGATCCTTGCCTCAGCTGAGGTAGGGGAGCCCTAGCTCCTAGACAGAGGTCCCTAATCCCATCACCTCATAATAAGCCAAGAAGCCGGCTTGTTTGGTGTACTTCCCTGGAGATGCTGGTCCAGTCGCTGCAGCCTGCAACCCATTCTTAGAGGCTTTGAGGAGATGAAAGGTACGTCCATAGGTGGGGAGCCCCATGAGGAGCTTCTCCGAGGGTGCCCCAAGCCTTCGCCAGTAATTCATAGCATATGCCTGCACGGAGGAAAAGAACACAACCTCTCCCCATTCTCTCTCCCCCCCACACCTCTCTTTCTCTCTCTCTCTCTCTCTCCCCTCCTGCCCTCAGAATTGCTATCTAGTTAAGGCTGACCCTGAACTCATTAGATAGCCTCAAACTCATAGTGATCCTCCTGCCTCAGCCTCTGGAGTGCTGAGATTACAGGCATGTGCCACCCTGCCCAGCTGCCTGGCTGGCTGGCTGGTTGGTTTGCTTGCTTTCTCTCACCCCACCCTCACCTCATACTAGTGATTGTACTCATTGAGCTACATCTCCAGTCCTTTTTATTTTGAGTCGGGATCTCATTCAGTCACTAAATTTCTCAGGCTGGGCTTGAACTTGTGGTCCTCCCAAAGACACCTGCTGCCCAAAGGCATGTGCTGCCATGCTTGGCATCCCTTTTTCTAATGGACAATGTCCTGGGCCCAATGACCAATGTCTGGGGTGCCTGAGCTCTTTCCTTACTGAAGATTTGGGGTCTTCTGGAAGAGAGAACAGGGGGCTATTATGTCCCGTGAACTTTTCCCAGCTTCCATGTAAATCATAAGACAAGATATTGATGAAATCCAGGAGCCTGTAAGGAACAGAGGAGGAGATATGAAGTCAGAGTAGCTGGGTTTTCAAGTGAGAACATCATAGCACTAACTGGCCAAGTAGCCAGGTGATGGTCATCTGAGTGTCCCTGCTCTTTTTGTCTGTGGCACCCGCCCAGGGTACACCAGCCACTCAGAGATGGAACAAACTGCTGGATAGAGATAACTGTGCATCAGCTCGTATGCATGCCGAGAGAATCTGTGGATGTGAGCAGGACTCAGAAAAGTGTATAAATTGTCATGAGTCAAAGCAGTACTGTCCCACAGCAATAGAAGAGCTTCTGCCTTCTACCATTCAAAGAGTGAAACTCACCCTCCGGAGAGCTTTCATAATGACCAGGCACAATTGAGCATGTGCCAGATCAGAGGTGGAAGTGTTTACATGGATTATTTAATTTCATTTTAATTGGGCCAATGCCCTAAGTACCATAACTTTCTCCACTTTGAAGCAGAAAAATTTGAAACTCAGACAGGTTAACTAATTTGCCTAAAGTCCCCGCTGGGTGAAGGCAGGACTCTCCCAATCCTTTCTGGCTACTGGACTAACGCTAACAATCTCCATTCTCTACTGGACTTCTCTCATTTCTGTCACATTGAGATGGCTCTTGTGCAATCACATCCAGAAACACCACACCCTCCCTTTCCCTGCATCTGCCTCGGTTTCCTCATCTGTAAGTACTTGATTGTTCAGGTTTGAGAAAATTAGCCCAGGCCAGCATGTCCAGAAAGATTTATGTGCAATTCTTGTCCACCTTTTTAAGCTTTGCAATGGAGATCTACTTTGAAAATTGGGTGTGACAGGCATTCCTCTCTGGTTTTATAGCAGGGCTGTTAACTCATCTGTGCTCTGATGCCAACATCTTCTGCATAGTGTCTATAGCTATCCTGTGAGTAAGAAGAGGCCAGGCCAGGCTCAGGGCATTCTGTCTTTCTGAGACCCAGCAATAAGCCATGCAGAAGACTCTACCCACTATAACATCGTGGCCACTACTACAGCATCTCCCTCTAATCTTCTGAAGAAAGGTCCAAGGTGTATAAGATGCAGCTGACCCTGTCCTCATCCACACTGCTCTCAACACACTCATAATCCCACTGACACCAGGGCAGGCACAAGACAAGTACAGAGTCCGTGTATGAGATGCTCTGGGGTTCTGTACTCAGGACGTCTCCTTCCCTCCAACGTCCTGCCCCACTAGGGCCACAGCCTCCCACCTTCCTAAAAGGCGCACATCATAAGATATTTGGACGATGTGTGGGACCCCGGAGACTGCAGCAGAGAGGAGGAGCCTTGGGCGATTAGTGAGCAGTGCTTCCTTCTGGAAGGCAAACAGGAGCTCCTAGGAAGAAAGACAGAATTAGATAAAACAGCTGGGGAGAGAAAACATCATCCAGGAAATATTTAGAGTACTGAGCTCCTTAGGGCAAGTCTGGGGACACAAAGCTGAGGGAGACACAGGCCCTGCCCACAGGCTTTGAGAAAGGCAAACCCAGATTGACAGGTGTGGATTTAACAGAGGTGAGATGAGCAGACCGGGAGCACAAAATCCAGACTGCACTGTCCAAGCGAGCTCAGAATGCTGCATAGAGAATGCACCACTTAGGCTGGAGGGCTGGAGTGAGACCCAGATACAGACAGAGAAAGAGCAACCAGAGGTCCCTGCTCAGCAGTTAGTAGGCCTGACATCTCTAGGGATTATGGCAGGAAAGAACATTTTGTTTCCTGTCTCTCTCTCTCTCTCTCCTGCCCCTAGCCTGTGTTCCCTGTTAGCCATGCACCCAGGCATGATTAAAAAACAAACAAACAAACAAGTACAGCCATTGCTAGATTCCAGTGCCCGCAGAGTGGCCTTACTTCAATTAAGAAAAGAAATGTCCACCGGTCACGCGTGGGGCTGCCTCTCAGTCCAGGGTACAAGAAAAAAAGGTCAAGCCCATCAAAGTTATGGGTCCTCAGGAGAGAGATAGCTGAATCAATAAACTTTTCACGGTTGGCGAACGTGGACAGCATAGTGGCGAATCTGCAGAGAGACCAGGGCGAGAGGCAAACACTGCTGTTCACAGAACCTAAAACTCTTTCGAGGCCCCTGGCTAGGTTCACCAGCTGGCAAGGCCCTGCTGGCTCCTCACCCATAATTGTTGGTTCCTTCCGCCTGTCCTAGCACAGACATCATCCTTCCCCTGGCTGGAGTGAGCCGGGTCCAGAAGGCTCTCTGAGCTAATCTGGGCCTGGGCTGAGTAAGTTTACACAAAAGGCCAGTGTTGTAAAGAGGAGTTTCTACCCGTCTTCTTGATTTTCTTATTTGATTTTTTTTTTCCTCTTTTAATATGAAGATACTTTGGGATAAATTCTAACTCATTAGAGCTGAACTTTAAGCAATTCTGGGCAAGCCCTGTAGACACTACTTAGAAAATAACCAGACTCAAAGATAGACAGGCCTGTGTTCCGTTGTCTTGCCTGCCACCTCCCAGCCAGGTGATCTCTGAGGCATACCTGGGAGCAATCTGGCAAGTTTATTAATATCTGTGACTCTTGCTTTCTTTTCCTACCAATTAAGAATAGAAACAACCACTTTAAATTTCCCGTGGCAGTTGCAAGACAATGAAAATGCAGCCCCTCTCCTCACAGTATGTGGCAAGTGCTCAGAGCGGGAGAGGTGAAGGCTGGGAAGAAAGGGTTGTCGCCTCACTTCCTGAATCTGTCTTCCATCCTATCTGAAGGCCCTTACAAGGGTCATCCTCACTTATTCCAAGCTGCCGAGTCTTCCTCAAAGGGTAGAAGGCAGGCTGACCCACGGCTCAGGCCTTGGTCATGATAGAGGGTAGCATTTCTTCAGAGAATGTGTAGGCAGGTGGCCCACTCCACAGTGCCTCCTGGAGGGTGCAGCGCTGACAAGAGCATCCATGGTTCCCCGAGTGCATGCACTGTGCCCATGCTCTAAGACTAACTTTGTTGCTTCCTTTCCTCCAATACAGCTTTTGAGGCTGATATCACTGGCTCCACTTAGGAAGTGAGGAAACCCAGGCCCTGCGAGATTTGGGGCTCATTCTTCTTGTCCCACACAAGACCCCTCTCTTCAGAGTCAAAGCTCCTGCCTTTTATGAAGCACTGAGGGTTCATCTGAGAATGTCCCGTTTTGTTTCTTATCTCCCCTCACCAGCTTCTTGCCACCTGGTAGAACCTCCTCCTCACCTGTTATCTTCCATGGTGGAGGAAGGGGGTTGAATCCAGGATGAAATCTGAGTTGGGGGAAGCATTGCCTAGCCTTGCTGCCCTCATAGCTAAGCTGGCTCTCTCGCCCACCTCACTCACTCCTGGCCCTCCTGTCTTAGAAAAAAAGCTGGTGACAAGAGCTTACCTCATTGTGCCGAAGTTCCACCCTCCAATGGACAGCAGTGTTTTCAGCTCCTTGTTCCTAAGATGTGGGACAGAGGGTGAGTAAGCTGGGTCTTCATGCCAGGGCACAGCTGAATTTACCATTCATTTTGCTTTGCTAATTGGAAGAACAATGGGAAATGGAGGAATGGAACACAGGGAAAGGAAGGCAAAGACAGACGGGAGGCGAGAGAACACAGGAAAGAGGAGGAAAGGAAAAGTGAGGAGAGCAATCAGCTCAAGCCTCATCACAACCCCACAGCTCAAAGACTGTACAAAATCCACCAGGCTCCCCCATATCCCCATGTTTCTGGAAATAAAAGAGTAGCTAAAATGTTCCTCTCATTCGCTCATCCAGCAAATACTTGTTGAGTAATGTCTACGTGCCTGGTTTGCTTTAGGAGCTTGAGATACAATATTAAACAGTGGACAAGCTCTCCTCTCTCAGGAGCCTTCGATCTGCTGACAAAGGATTTTCACCCTGCCCACCTATGCAGCAACAAATCTTCAAAGAATCAAGGAATTCTGGAGAGGGGAATACTTAAGTAAGTACTTACTAAGTGTCACTTCTATGAAAGTACTGACCTAGCTACTAAGTGTCCAAAGACAGAGGAAACATTGGTTGAGGAGCTCACACCTTGGGAGTCATGGGTGATATCTGCGTTGTTCAGGGCCTCTTTGAAGCACTTTAACAGTATTAATACCTTAAATTCTCACATCTGGGCTCAAAAGGGAACCTGAGGTTTACCAGGCAGAGAGGAAAGAGATGACATCCAGAGGAAGCAGCAGCAACTACCAAGGCAAGGAGGCAAGAAGGAGTTCAAGGAATTTTTCAACAGGGACTTCTTACATTAGGGATGCTCTGGAACTGCATTTGAGAGGAGGCTAGGACAGGAAGGATCAGGGGAAAGTTTATAAATAACAGGAGAAATAGGTTTAATTTTCTTACATCAGTAAAATCTGAAAAGTCAAGCCCACATCCAACATGAACTCACCTCTCCTTAAGTCTGTTGAACTCTGGGTAGAGAATTTTCTCATCCTGGAGACCCTTGGCAACAATCTTATTGTTGCTCATTGAGGCAAAGGCAAATATCAGGTGGCTGCATAGAAAGGGATCCAAGTCATGGGGCAAAACAGAGGCAGGGCCTGGTCGACTGTGTGCCCAGTTCGAGAAATAGCACACCAGTTTGTAGGCAGCACCTAGTGAGGGAGCGCACACATGTCAAGAGATCAAGGAAAAAGGTGGAGTTCAGCTTCCAGAGAGAAGTGGGACCCTCTGGCCCAAGAGGATTTCCACCCTGCCACCACATACACCCCAAAGACTCGGGGAGGTCCAAGCCCTCCCCCGCTTGCCAAGAGTCCCAAATAGAGCGCAGAGAATGCCTCATGAAATTCTGGTCAAAAATGAATCCTTAAGTCTGGACCCTGGTACAGTTGCCAGGTATCCTCTGCTGCACTGCATTGAATCAGTAATCCCTGGCAGAGGAGCCAGGGGCTGCAGGGCACAGGCAATGTGGAGGACTTCCAAGCCAGAAAATCTCCTTGGCTGTGCAGGAAAGAACACAATTTTCTTACCGTCGTGGTGTTCCAGCACAAGAGCCAGCCCTACAAGAAACAGAGCAAAGAGTCACACAGACTCATCCACGTCCCCCACACACCTGATTGGCAAGTGCTCTTACCCACTCAGCACTATATCCAGATACAGATACACAAGTGCAGTCACACACCCTTCACTCATCTCTACTCCTCTAATGTTGAACCAATGAAGCTCTCTCTCCCTCTCTCTCTCAAATAAGTACCACATGTATACACACATGCCTTGCCCAGGAATGATGATGGTTAGAAGTTCCAGCAAGAGCTCTAGGCCAGTGGTTCTCAATCCTGGCTGCAAAGTTGGAAAGTACTGGTATCCTAGCCCTTCCTTCAGAGATTCTCATTTAATTGGTCCAAGGAGGAACCCAGGCTGGAAAATGTTTACTATTCAATGGAGAACCACAGCTATGATCTTTCCTCCCTGAGTTCAGATGTTCACTATGTCCCATCCCATTTGTACTTAATCCAGACCCCTGAGTCCCAGGCTACTCTACTGGGGCTCAAAGAGATGACAATCTTGGAAAGCCTGGCACCTCCTGGACTGAGACACATTTCTGGGCACTTCAACATTTACTGACCCATAACAACAGCCTCCCCATCTTAGCGGTCTGGCAGCTGTGAGGCCAGAGCTCGAACCCCTTTATAGGAACTGGCCCATATACAGCATGAGAATAGCTTGGCTATGTAACCCCCCCCCAACACACATACAACCCAAGGCCAGGATCAGTGATTTATGAGAGTCACAGTGACCCCAGAACCACCTGTCCTTCCTCTTCAGCATAGCTGTGGCTCTCAGAGCCAACAAAGCTGCAGCCCTTGTCTGACACTGACAGACAGTGTCCACCGTGGGCTGTGGGAAAGGTGGGAGTACATTCCCGGGCCCTGCCTGGTACTCAGTGCTGCTTCCTGGTGTTCAGCCCCATATGGGAGAGGAACACTACGTGCTCGCTGTGATTATTGATATTCACGATTATTGGTTGTGAAAGAAGTCTAACGGAAAGCTTAAAAGTTTCAGCTTTGGATTTTGGGTCCAACCTTTAAATGAAAGGATTAAAATTTTTCTTTTTGAAATGGGGTCTCGCTATGTAGTCCAGGCTGGCCTTAAATTAGCAGTGATCCTCCTACCTCAGCCTCCTGAGTGCTGGGATGACAGGTGTGCACCACCACACCAGGTTTAAATGCAAAATTTAAATCTCAGTGTCCCACTTAGAAGTTTTATAATCTGGGACAGTCCCTCTAGTCTCTGTGAGCTTCTGCTTCAACACATAAAATGATTCATACTTACTTCAGAGAGCTTTACATGGACTAAAGAGGTAAAGTATAAAAAACTGTTAATTCAGTACTTCGCCTGCGATCAGGGCTCAACAAATGGAGGCTGTTGAAAGGATTGCCCAACTGAGAACAGTTGTCAAACTCAAATGCTGACGCTCAGCAGGAGGTCATGTAAAGCAGTGAAATACACATAATAAAACTATGCATTCACCATTACGAGGAGAGTAACAGTTCAAGCCCAGTGGTACAGATCAAGTGATATGACGCCTCTTGGTCAGGAGACAACAGATTGGTATGATCAGGAACAGCCCTCCAAGGAGCTGCTAATTGTTGCCCCACAGGAAAATAGATCCAGTATTTGTAAATCCTTTGATTTCTCAAGAAAAGAGAAAAACCCAAATTTTATATGTCGATGATATTTGAGCCAGTATATGAGCCAATGGTGAGAGCGTATCATAAACCTCAGGTATATGATGAATACAATTCTGGGCATCTGACAGCCAATTTTTAAAAAATTCAACAGCAGTATGAAAGATAAACAGAATGAGTCACTAAGGCAGATGATTGTAAAATCTGTCCATTTTCTTTCTCTGCCACAGCAGGTCTCTGGCACATGCCCATCCTTTCAGAGTCTGCTTCTGTTCACCTATTCCAGGTACAAATATGAGCTACTGACCAGATCTCAATGCAATACATGAGCAGGAAGTAGCAACAACTAGTGGTCAAATCCATATAACATCTATCCTTTGTACTACAAAGAAACCAAGAAACCATTGTTTTTAAATCAGTAGTTTGGATGTTATGGTATAAAAACAGATGGTATAGAATGGTAGGGTCAGGGATATTTCACTGAAGCTCTAGGAAATCCTGATGGAACATTTCAACAAATATTCATTGAGAATATGTCAGCCCCTGGTGGGTGCTTAAGTTTCTACTTTTAAGGACCTTGTGATCCAGTGAACAGATTCAGTCTATCCTCAGAGCTAGTGTGTGTGTGTGTGTGTGTGTGTGTGCGTGCACGCACACATGTGCATGCGCATGTGCATGTCCTTTTCTTGGAGAAGTAGCATGATGAGTACAGTGAGGAAAACATGAATTTTTTTGTCAAACAGACTTGATATCCCACTCCTGCTGTACTATCCTGAGACCACTTGAGTCCCACCTGCTTTCTCTATGCCCTCTCTGTTCCTTGGGCTAACATTAATTGAAATCAGGAGATGATTAAGCCTCCAAGGACAACAATGGATCAGGCTTGGCAACAACTTGTAACATTGGTAGATGACTTCTGGTGTATTGTCTAACTCTGCTGACTATGCACACTTACTTGTTTACCAATTCCTATCTTTGTGCTCTAATTCTTGTTACTGGGTCTGTGCTTTGACTTCTCTTTTTGTTCTGTAAACTACTGGCACTACAGATGGTTCCTGGGGCTTCAATCTTGCCCAGTCCCTCTATCTTTCAGCCCGAGGCCTTACTGGCTCTTTTGAGATGTCCCTAATGCGGAGTAGGAACTTGCCTCTATCCACTTCTGAGTCCCCCCAGCAACCCCTGCCTTCCAATTCTCCGCATCACTGAAACTTCCCACTAGGTTTGTACCCCTCCACTCACACTGCTGCTGGGGGCCCTAGTTGTTAATGTTCTATCCATTGCAAAAGAAGCCAAATTTCCCTATCAATCTGATCCTTACTAATCCTTACCTGTGGCAATCCTTTGGCTCCTATCCTGCTGTAGCGCTCATGGCTAGATTTCTGACCTGACCTCAACTGAAAAAGTGACTGATGATGCTGAGAATGCCAAGATACAACAATAGACACCCGAGAGTGACCTCTTTTTAATTTAGAATGACCATGTCAAAGAGTTGGCAGTATGACTCTCTATACCTAGCAGATGATAAATAGTGAAATGCTGAGCAAGATTATGTTGAACATGAATGCCGCTTTGTTTGCTCACAATGCTTTTGAGTTCTTGCTGTCAAAAAAAAAAAAAGGCTTATTTTTACACACCCACCTGGCTACTTAGAAAATATAGCTCCTTAGTGCTTAGCCTGTTCTTACGAAGTGGAGCTGACATTTACAAATGTCTTTTACTTGGGTAACCAACAAAATCCCTAAAGGAGGGTGACCCCTTTCAAATTGAAAAAGACTCATCTAGATGAAGGCAAGAAGATCATAGATGTGAAATGCTTTGGCTTCAACAAAGCATCTGTCCAAATACTTCAAAATGTTCATGTAGATAAATTAGAAAAGTACAACTGAATAAAATCAGTTGGTGGTTGAATAAGAATTAAAAAGTGTTCACCAAGACTCATGGTAAATTTGAAAGAGCATCTCCTAGTCAATTATCTCATCTTCAAAGTGATCTCCCAATATTTAGTATAAAAGACAATTTTTTGTTTGTGCATGAAGGATTTCTTTATTCTTTTCCAGTTTTAAAAAAAATTAGTAGTAGTAGTGTGTTTACGTTCATTCTGGGGGAATGTACATACACATCGTGATCGGTTTTACTCCCCCACCCCCTGCCCTTCCCTCTTTCTCCTGTCTTAGCCTGATTTTGCATTTTTAAATGTTTATTGTAATGTGTACTAAAAAAAAATATTACATGAAACCATGGTTTCATGAATTTTTTTCCAGTCCTGTATGTTCTAACATAGACTTCAGAGCATAGTACTATTTAAGTCTTTTATAACTCTAGATTTAAAAATTAAACAAAACTTCACTCATTACAAAGTGAGCTCTCTTGGTGAAGGACTCATGACTGACTTACCTTTGCAGTCCCCGAACCAACTGTTAAATGGCTGCCTCTGGAATGAGTTGAGCAAAAGCAATCAAAGAAGTGAGCACAGCCAGTCTGAGAAAGTTTAAGGCCAGCCAGCGTCAGAGGGCTTCTGTGACAGACAAACGGCAAAGACTGCAGAACTCAAGCTAAGTTAGCGTGTACCTGTAAAAGCCATTTTCTAAAACAGTCTTAACTACGTAGCTGAGATGAAATGGAAACTAAAATTCCTAATGCTTATAACTCAGTACCTCCCAATGCGAAATGCTTGACTGGAATCTGGACCTCCATCATCTTAGGGACAGGTGAGATATATCTATATTCACTAAAGGAATGCAAAACCAGTGACACCAACTGGGCTTCCACCTAAATGTTAAAGGATGTTGTTTGGAGCCTAAATTATTTGAATTTTGACAATCTGCTCCTTACAGTGAAGCTGCAGAGCATCATTTGCAAGGGTTTCCTCAGTAAATGGAGGCCCACATTAAATGTGAGAGATTATAGGATCACAGCTTGTGCGATGTGCTTCTACAACTTAAGAACAGACCCCTACATTTTAGGAGTTCATTCTTCCTCAGCTCCTCTGGATTGTATAATTCCTGTGCTTGTAAGGAAAGTTGAAAAATTCTGTTAACTGTCCCTTTTTTTTTTGACAGGGAATTCAACAGGGAAATATGTTTTTGGCCTAAGAGTGATCTACTTAATCTTGTTACTTTTCCAAAAAAGTATTACAAAATCTGAAGGCTGAGTTCTTAAGAGAAATTTTAGACACTCACTACAAATGGTGACGGGATATGAATTGTCTCAGCTTCTTCTAGATTGGGTCTCCTTAGATGCCCTAAAGCTTTTCAGAATGCAAAAAGACATTTTGTCTCTTACTGAAATGCTTATGTAAACATTGTTTTGAAACGGGTTTTTTTCCTGTTTTTAGTTGGTAGACTCAGTTACGATAACTACTGAAATACAATGCGTATGCACACATATACACACATGTATTTGAAAGACATTACTCACATTGTCCAAAGGCAACAAGAATATCTTTTAAAAATCAGAGCCCTTTATTTCCAGATCTAGTGGCAAGTACCTTTTGGGGCCCTCTGATGTTGAATCTAATTTTTAAAGTAAAATACAAGGACCTGTCTCCATCTCCTGTCCTTCGAAAACATGGCCCAAAGTAGTTAGAATTTTGGTGTTTTTGTTGCTATGGTTGTGAACTAGTAATGCCTATAGAGCAATTTATCCATGATCCATATTCCCACTATTCTCTGGGGCAGCGGAGATATATTGAGAATCAGCCTGGTGTCTGATTTCTCCTCAATCTATGTAAAATTTTTCAGTGTCCTTTGTGGGTCCAAGGACTTCTGAAGACCTCTGTGGACCAGAGATCAATACTGGAATACAGTGGGTCAGGCTAATGGACTTCAGAGTACCAATAATAAAGTTAGGAAATGGATTGACTCCAGTGTTTACAGACATTTGAACCAGCGAGATTAAATGCAGGATGCGTTTTTTTTAAAACAAAATGCTCTCCATTGCTTGGTCATTAGCAAGTCCATGCTCACTGTCCTACAGCTACGCTCAAGTCAAAGACCCAGTGAGTCAACCCACATGACACTGCATCCATTATTCTGAGTTCACCTTTTCTAAAACTTCTCACCATTACATGTTCATCCAAAACTGTTCTCGTTCCTGTGACTCTTAGGTTTACACATCCTAAGACAGTCATGAATACATGTGAATCATCCTCTTCAGCACAAATCCATCTAACGCCAAATTTTTTGTTTTATAATAAGATAATGTAGTTCCTCAAAAACCATGCTTTCCCTCTTTGGTATCATTGTAACCATCGTAACACATGCACACATCACCTTGACATCTTTTCTCTTTCAGGATTTCCTCTACTCTTCTTAAACCCAAGAGGAAAAGAGTTATGTAAATACATTTAACACCTACCCATGTCATACCTCTCCTTACTCTAAGTGACCACCAAATTTCACCTCTGAGCAGAACTTAAGTGATTCCACTTACTTATCCTACTTCTTCCTAAGAAGTTAATAGTTAAGAACCACGGAAGACTTTATTCATAGCTCATATTAACAGTGGGAAATCATGACTTCTCGTGTGTTTTTCTCAAGGGTAAGCAAAAGAGTTCATGATTACCAGGACGATACACAGAAACTTTACTTAGAAATATTTTGTCCATATTCTTTTAAGATGCCCAGTTTCTTGTAATTTTACCTAAATTTGCAAAGTTCAAAAGTACATAATTGATTCTATTTACTTTCAACATAATCAGTAACTCATTCATGACATCTAACTGGCAGTGGCCACTGCAATGGAGAAAATAAACATTCCAACTAGCTACTCTGGGAACTGGAACTGGGGCAGCACAGGAAGCACAGTAGGCTCCAAAACTGATACCCTGGCCAGGAGTGGTGACACAGTGTATCCCAGCACGTGGAAGGTTGAGGCACAAGGCTTGCTTTGAGTTCATGACCAATGTGAACTACCCAGTGAGACTCTTTCAAAAAACAAAAGACTAAAACCCTGACTCACGTAAGTAAAACACACTATATCTAACCACACATAGTAGACTTCAGAAAAGACAAACATATAAACTCTTTATTTCACCAACCAGTATTTCATTTTTTTCATGATGCTGGATTTCAAAATTTTAGGAACCCACAAATATAGTGTTCAGACTTCCTATAGCCAGATAAAGAGGTCCAGAAGCAGGTCAGATCCCAGGCTGGTTTTGGGTTGGAAAAGTGACAAAAATTTCTCTGAAACAATCCATGTCAGTTTTCTAACTTCACTGAAATGCCTTTAAGCTCTCTGTCATCCCTAACTTTCCATTATGGAATCTAAGACAGAAAAACACTCATCTCTCATACACACAATGCCATGGTGGGCAGAGAAGCAGGCATCACATAAGTACTCGCCAAACTGCAGCCAGAAAATAGATTTCTGATTCAGTGGAATGGCAAGTAGTTGTGCAAAACTTTGGTGAGTGGATCTTGCCTCTCCTTCAAAGTAGCTGGATTAGGTCCTTGTGCATGGAATTAATTCCCAAAATAGTCAGTTAAGCTCTATAAAACAGTAAGTTGCCTCTACCTCTACAAATAAGATAAGAGCTGCTTCCAAGAACTCAAGGCTTTTCACATCCCATACCCTGTCCAGACACAGCCAACAGAGGAAACATAAAACTTTCTGCCAATTTTTTTTTGGGGGGGGTAGGAAAGTATTTTGGAAAACTGAGGCTAATTTTCATCCTCCTCCCAAAAAACTACAGATCTACAAATACACTCAG